TTGCTGAGTAGTGTGCCATGGTATAGATGTACCACATTTTGTTTAACCATTCACCCACTGAAGGATTTCTGAGATGTTTCCAGTTTCGAGCTATTATGAATAAAACTGCACTATAAGCACTTACACACAAGTTTTTTAATAAACACCAGTCTTCATCCCTCTGGGATAAATGCCCAGGAGTACAACTTCTGGGTCATATAGTAGCTGCATGTTTAGTTTTTTAAGAGCTGTGTTTTTTAAGAGCTGCCAAACTGTTTTCCAGAGTGGCTGTACTATTCTACATTTCCACCAGCAATGGATGAGTGATCCAGCTACTTCACATCCTCACCATATAACAATTCAGCAGCATTTTGTATATTCTAGACACCAGGTCTTTATCAGACATATGATTTGCATATGTTTTTTCTCATTCTGTAGGTTGCCTTTTTGCTTTTTTCATAATGTCCTTTGATGCACAAAAGTTTTAATTTTGATGAAATCCAGTGTATCTATTTTTTCTTTTGTTGCTCATGAGTTTGGTCTCATATCTAAGAATCCATTGCCAAATCCAAGGCCATGAAGATTTACCTCTATGTTTTCTTCTAAGAGTTTTATAGTTTTAGCTTCTATGTTTAGAATGTTAATCCATTTTGAGATGATGTTTGTGTAAGTTGTGATGTAGGGGTCCAACTTCATCCTCTTGCATGTGGATATCCAGTTGTTGCACAACCATTTGTTGAAGAGACTATTCTTTCCCCCATTGAGTGGTCTTAGCACCTTTGTTGAAAATCAATTGCCCATAGATTTATGGGTTATTTCTGAATTCTCAAGACCATTCCACTGCTCTATATGTCTACCCTTATACCAGTAGTGCACTGTTTTGATTACTGTAGCTTTGTAGTAAGTTTTGAAGTCAGGAAATCAAAACTTGTCCTTTCGTTTTCAATATTGTTGTGAGGTGATAATATGATTCTTATTCTTTCCCTGTTAATATGGTAGATAACATGAATTAACTTTTGGATGTCGAACCAGCCTTGTATCCCCAGAATAACCCCAATTTGATCATGGTATACAATTCTTTGTATAAATTTCTAAAACTTTGTTAAGAATCTTTGTGTCTCTATCCATGACAAATATTAATCTTTAGTTTTCTCATTTTTTTTTTTTGTACAGTTTTTGTCTTTGTTTTCAGGGTAATACAATGCATTGGAAAGTGTTCCCTCCTCTTCTCTTTTCTGGAAGAGGTTATGTAGAATTGGTGCTAATTCTTTGAACAATTTGTATAATTTTCTAGTGAGACCATCTGGGCCTAGAGTTTTCATTTTGGGAATTTTTAAAATTATAAATTTAATTTATTTTATAATTATAAGGCTATTCAGATCATTTCATATTGGGTAATTTTTGGTAGTTTGTGCTTTTAGAATAATTGCTCCATATTACCTAAGTTTCCAAATTTGTGTGGTTAGAGTTGTTCATAGTATTCCCTTAATATCCTTTTAATGTCTGTAGGGTCTGCAGTTACATTCCCTTTTTCATTCAAGATATTGGTAATTTGTGTCTTCTCTTTTTCTTTGTCACCCTTGCTAGAGATTTGTCATCTTTATTAATTTTGTCAAAGAACTAGCTTTTTTTCATTGGATTTCTTTATAGTTTTTCTGTTTGCAATACCATTGATTCTGATTCTTTATTATTTCCTTTCTTCTGCTTGCTTTGGGATTATTTTGCTCCTCTTTTTCTAGGTTCTTTAAGTGGAAGCTTAGATTATTGATTTTAGATTTTCTCTCATTTCTAATGTAAGCATTTAGTGCTATTAATTTCCTTCTCAGCACAGCTTTACCTGTGTCCCACAAATTTTGATATATTATGTTTTTATTTTCATTCAGGTCAGTGTATTTTTTTATTGCTCTTGAGACCTCCAAGATGGCCCATGCACTTTTAAAAAATGTGCTGTTTAGTTTCTAAGTGTTTGGTGATTTTCAAGCTGTTTTTCTGTTATTGTTTACTAATTTGAGTCCATTATAGTCAGAGAAACATCATGTATTATTTCAATTCTTTAGACATTTTTGTGGATTGTTTTATAGTTCAGAATATGTCTATCTTGGCATATATTCCTTGGGTGCTTGAAAAGAATATATATTTTATGGGTTTTTAGTGGAGCACTCTATAAATGTCAATTTGGTCCTATTGAATCCTATCATTGAGTTCTATATCTTTCTGATTTTCTGTCTAGTTCTATCAGTTGTTGAGATACAATATTGAAATCTTCATTATAAATGTGTCCCTTCTGTCCCTGTTATTTTTCTTTGCTCTGAAGTGTATATTAAATGAAAGTGGTATAAATGTAGCAATTAAAAGACAGAGGTTGGCAAAGCAGATAAAAAATATGACCCACTGATATGCTGTTTGCAAGATGGTCACCTCAAATACTATACAATCATTTAGGTAGGTTGAAAGTAAAAGGATGGAAAAAGATATATCATGCAAATGTTAATTTTAAAAAGTAGCTGGAGGAGCTCTAGTAATATCAGATTAAGGAGACTTCAGAGCAAAGAAAATTAACAGGGACAGAGAGGGACATTACATAATGATAAAAGGGTGAATCTACCAAGAAGACAAAGTAATCATACACGTGCATGCTCCAAACAACAGAGGTGCAAAACATAGGAACTGAAAATAAAGAACTGAAGGGAGAAATAAAAAAATTCACATTTATACTGAAGATTTCAATATTGTATCTCAGAGTGGATTTTTTTGGATTTGTACTATTTGGGGTTCACTTAGCTTCTTGAACTTCCAGGTTTCTGTCTTTTGCCAAATTTCAGGAATTTTTAGCCATTATTTATTTGAATGCTTTTTCAGTCCCATTCTTTCTCTCCTCTCCTTAGATATTTTTTATAAACCTTAAATATTTTGTTAGATATTTTGTTTATAATGCCAAATGTCCCTGAGTCTCTGTTCTTTTTTTTCCAGTCTATTTTCTCTCTGTTGTTTAAATTGGGTAATTTCTATTCTATGTTAATTCTTTCCTCTGTCCCTTCCATTCTCTTGATCCCATCCATTAAGTTTATTTCATTTATTGTATTTTTTAGTTCCAAAATTTCTGTTTGGTTCTTCTTCACATTTTCTGTTTCTTTGCTAAGAATTCCTATTTCTTTGATGAGACTTTGTCTATTTTTTTTTATTTGTTTTAAGCATGGTTCCAATTGTTGGTTGAAGCATTTTAATGATTACCATTTTAAAATCCTTTTCAAATAATTCTAACATTTATATCATCTTGGTGTTGGAACCTGTTGATAGTATTTTTCATTCACTCTGAGATCTTCCTGGTTCTTGGTATGATGAGTGATTTTCTATTGAAACCTGGACATTTTGGGTATTATGTGATAAGACCGGATCTTATTTAAATCTTCTGTCCTAGCTAACTTTCTCTGACATTGCTCTGGCAGGGAAGGAGGGACCATCTTATTTGTGCCAGGTGGGTATAGAAGTTCAGGTTCCCCGTTTAGCCTTCATGGACATCAGGGTGGGTGGGACCCCTCATTCCTGCTGGGCAGGAGTGAGAGTTCCAGCTCCCCACTAGGCCTCTACTGATACTTTATTAGTGAGGATGGGGAAGAGTGCTTCATTACTGCCAGATGAGCGTAGAGCCACGGCTCCCTGCTTGGCCTTTGCTGATGGGATGGGATGGGACTACAGTTTTTTCCGTGGTGTTTGGCTGAACCAGAGAAGGCTTTTTACCTAAAAGTTTTGTGTCTTGATAGGCCACCCCTTTACTGATCTTTTGGCTAGAGAAAGCAGTCTTTTATTGGGGCCTTTTTGTCTGTTCCATTGGCATTCTGGGTTGCTGGCTTCTTCAGCTACAAGTCTGGCATATATGAGGCAAAAATAAAGCCCAGGGAATTCACCAATGCATTGTTCTTCAGGTCCCAAGGTCCCTAGCTGGTCTACCATTTTCTCTCCTCCTTTCAGGGTCTTTGTGGGTGTTTTTTATATATAATGTCCAGAGATTAGTGTTGCATTCAAAAGGAGAATGTGAGAAAATACGTCATCTTTCTAGAGGTGGTTTTAGTTGTACTCAGTGGGAGAATGGGGAAAAGTACGTCTCCATCTTTCCAGAAGTAGAAGTTTGGACATTGAGATTTTAGAGTCTGATGCTGTACTGCTAAAGGGGTTCATGGGAAGGAGAGATGCCCTCATATATAAAACACTTGAGCAGAGCTCTTATTTCATGTCTACATCATGAAAAACAAACAAAAAAAATGCCAGCTTACCTTGGTTTGCATATGTTTGCTCATCTATCATGGAGGGCATACATTGGAGTAGCCAAGATTCTAGCCTGCTCAGTTAGTTTCCATAAACCAGTGCACCAGGGTTTCATGAGCCCCTTCCAACATCCATTGCTCTCTTCTGGTGTACGTCAGGGTTTGAACTGTTGGTCAGCTCACTTGGATGGGTACTAACAGGGCCAGAGTTGGTGGCTGCTCTTTCTATGGGCCATTAGGCTTACTCCAGTACAGCTGAAGGGGCCTAAGCCATCACTTGATCCAAGCACTGTGTTTTTTCATATGAGGAAACTGTGTGTCAGAGAATAGAAGAGCCTTTCCTTGGGTCCTACCGCATACCAAACAAAAGCAAAGCCAAACCTAGGATCTACAGTCCCTGCCTGTAAGCCCTGTGTTATTTTAGTTGCATCAGACTGCTCCTCCACCACCCCTCTGCTCTCCAGTGAACTTTGTTCTGGCCCATGGCCAGTGACTGCCATTTCATCCCAGCCAACTACCTCACAGAAGTGCCCCTCATCCCTGGGGGTGGGAGTACCCAATGAGGGTGGTGGGGTGGGGAAAGAGACAGGGAAAGGAATGTGGCTGACTCCACAAAACCTGTCCTCAGAGTGAAAGTCTGTGATTCACGGGGTCAATGGTCTCATCTTCATATCTGAAAGACAGTGTACTTTTTGTCTCCCTAAGCCCTGTGTCTAGGTCGTTTGGGAAGCACCTTGGAGAGACAAGAATAAAATTGCAGGTCAAACAATGGATGACTGGAAAAATCGGCTTGTAATCAAGAGCATGCTTCCCCATTTCGCCATGGTGGGAAATCGTCAGGAGCCCAGAAAGCTCCAGGAATCGGTCAGACAATGGGCTATGGGGGGAGGGGGTGTGAATGCTTCTAATCTTAAACTTGAACGTAAGATATGTTATTGAAATTCTCTGTGCAAACTTGATGGCAAGGAACCAACTCAAAATGTAAGAACTTTAAATCTGATCTAGAAAAGATCTAGGAAATGAGCTGCCCCTGCCCCTTGTGGGTTTCTGGTAGAGCTGAAAATATAGTCCAAGCCTCCATCTAGATTCCCAGTCCAATGATCTGTGCACTGCACCCCTTCAACAAGAAAAAGAGGAAGGGTTAGAGGGAAGAAGATTCTATTTTTTCTTTTAATAGAAACCAGTCAGAATGGCAAGCACTAGATGTATTGCATTAGCTTCCTAGTATGACTGAGAATAAGAAGCCAGGGCACAGAAAGGGATTCCCATTCAAATCTCTGGCCCTGGTGTCCTTTTAAAAAGTCATTTGACACACTTCTACTTTCCTGCCTTAGAACCCAGACATCATCCAAGTATCTGAAACTCAGCATTAGGGATTCCAGTGGTAGTTCTAGTGGCCAGGCTGATGATAGAAGGGGCCATGAGAGCCATTGGCTGGTTGAATTTGATGATAGAACCTGCAACATCACCAGTCTACCAAAATTAGCTCAGTTAACAGGAGTTGCAGCAAACACAATGTTTTTTTTATCTCAAGGTTTTAGGCTCAGAGAGGAATGGCTTGCTTAATCTCTGAAATTAATAAAGCAGAGAGGAAATGGCTCTTACAGAGCTGTGGGTCTGCTTCCTTCCTGTTCATAGAATTGGGAGCCCCGGGCTCTGAGGTAATGCCATTTCACATAACTAGAAGGCTGGTCTTCTCCAATTCCCAGGGCAATCCACTTTCAGTAAGTCAGCTATTTACTTTAGGATTTTGATATGTGCACAGGTGTGGGGGGAGTTGATTGAAATCTTGCTCTTCTTTGTTTTTTCCCTCATTGTCAACCACCAACAATGAATGAGAATGTGTTATCAAGTTGAGTGTGTAGACATTTATAAAACTTTGTTTACTGAAGTCCCAGCTCTCCCAGAAATGGCAGTCGGGTGGAATGGCAGAGATGGAGCAGTTATTTGGCCAGCAGCCTGTCCTCCAAATTGCCATCCCTGAATCAGGCATCTTCTAGATCAAGAACTGAGTCAGTAAAGTAAAACATCCTGGTAATGCACCCAGAGCCCATGATCAGTTTTGGCATGACTTTAAATTTCTCCTTTGTTTCCCACTTGTTTCCATTCACTTGGGCCAAGTCCTAGGAGAAAAGGGTGGGTGGGTTGTAGTTGCAGGGGTCCTCTTCCCCTTCTCCTCACCCACTCTACCAACACTCTTTTAAGTTATGTGAGTAGTAAATAACTGCTTTGGTTTTGATCAGCGTAGTCCTTGATACATGTATAAGTATTCTAGGGAGGGCTGTCCTTAGAATAGGTCCTCGGAACAGCCATCCATGTCCTTACTTTTAAGAAGGTCCCATTGTTCACACCATTTCCAGGCTTGTCTTGTCTTTGTAGTTGGCCTTTGCGGTCCTTTGTAAGCATTTCTAAAAAATTACATTCATTGCTTTAGAGGCACACCTTGGACATGATCAAAATCAGCCCTTCTACCTCCTCCATGGCACACCTTCTTCTCTGTCCTTGGCTCTGAGTGGTCTGACTATTTCCAAGTCACCAAGCTGTCCTAGAAGACCAAAGATTTGCCAAAGTTGAGGGGATCCAAAAAAAAATATGCCTCAGGCTCTGAAAGCAGCTCCCTCAGATGAATCTTCTTCACAGTTGAAACCGCATGTGTCTTCTTGGAAGACACATATGGTCTCTGAAGGGGATGACATTGAGAACCCACTCCTTCGGCTGTACTGCTGCTACCTTCAGCGGGCAGCCAAGGCAGCTCTCAGTCTGAGAAAAGCTGAATTTTAGTAGCTAGTCAATTCCTGTAGCCTCAGGAAGGTGCCTGATGCAAATGTCAAACTCTGCTGCTCACACTGAGGATATCACCAGCCGGGTGTTTGTGGAGTGAGGGACAGAGATAGACAGATTAAAAGCAAAATGATCTGAGTTCACCAAGAAACCTGCTGTCCAAACAAGTTTTGCAGGGCCTGGAATGTGAGCGGCAGAAGGAGGTCCTTTGCAGGAGTTGGGCTTGCATTTCCAGGGTGCGGCCTCAGCTGGGTGTCAGATGTTTCTGGTGTTTGCCTTCCCTCTAATGGTTCATAACATGCAGGGGTGACAGCCCAAGCCCAGTCCCAGGAAACCATGTGCATCTGGAAGCACATCTCTTGCACCACTCTCCCTCATCCAGAATGTGTCCCCAACATAAAAACCTGCTTCAGGCATTCAGCCTCACTGGCTCTCTTGTCCTTTCCCCCAAAACAAACCAAAAAACAGGTCTCAAATCCGAGTCTTGCAATAGAATCATATCAGGCCCAGAAGAGAGTTGTTTTTAAACAGCCCTGGGATTTACATGTAAGTAATTGGGAGCTCCCTTGCAGGGAAATGTGTATCTGATACAACAGTGCCTCTTAGTCTGAGATCAGGACTCAGGACGCCTGGGTTCTAGTCTTGCATATGCTCCTAGCAAGCTACAGGATTTTGTCCATCCTTTGCTCTCTCTGAGAACAAAGTTCAAATCAACCAAAGTAAGAATAAACACCTTTGATGAGCATGAACTAGATGCTAGGCACTTTGCTAAGCACTTGGGAAACATTATCTTCTGTAATCCTAATGAGAACCCTGAGAGGAAGAGACTGTTATTATCTCCAGGAAACTGAGGCTCAGCCAGGTTAAGCAACTTGACCAAAATCAGACTTAAGCAGTGGCAGATCTCAGAACCCACTGTCGTCACCACCGTATTCTGCTGCCTCTTATATCTAAAGCATGTGAAAAACCACAAAATGCTGAATACATATCAAGCAGAAGTAGTCATCCTAAGAAATCTCAGCAAAGCAAGTACCTTTTTGGCATTTGTTTATTCATTAAGATTGCTTAATGACTCTTGTAATCTGGAGGAAAGAGGAGTTTTACCTTCTGAACATTTGGGCGTCTATCCAAGGTGAATAAGGCATCCCAGTCTCTGCAGTTAGCACATGGAGTTTTAACAGGAGACAACATTTGACCCTTCCCCTTGAAGTTGAGATCTCAACTCTTCCTCCAGATCAGTAGGTCTATTACTTGGTTACTAGGACAAGAATCTCCAAATTGGGAGTGCTCCAGAGTTGGAATGCAGTGTGCGTGTCACATGTCATCTCTGCACCCCACTGCCAGTTGCAAAGATTCCCCCAGCTCTCAGTAGCCACCTATTCTATTCATAAGGCAGCTCCTAGACAAAACGGGGTGTTAATGGCATTAAATGCACAGCTGAAGAAGGAAGAGGGCACTGTGCTCTTTGTTCATTTTCCGTGTTCAGCCATTTCATGTTAATAAGTGACTCAGTCTCTAAGTGACAATGAGTTGCCACGCCCAGTATTCTTTCTGAGCTTCCCAACCACTCCATGGGGAAGGAGGTATTATTATCTTAGTTCTTCTTTGTAGAAGACAATAATAAGGTCTGAGAAATCCGGTGACTTGCAGAAGGATGGCCATCGAGAAGGTGGGGAGCTACATCAAGGGTCCCCATTTGGGTGGCTCCAAGTGCAGGGTGCTTTCCACCCACAGTATGACCCAAACCAACCCCTCAGTCCTTCTGACATCTAAATGCGAGTGGGGCTGAGGAAGGGGGAGAGAGGAACTGTCAGTGTGACAGGGTGTGTAACAGGAGATTAGGATGGCTGCAGTAACACCGGCCCCCTCCTGTCTGTCCCTCTTCTGTAGACTGGGGAGCTTAGAAATACCCAGCAGGAGGAGCTCTATTCACCTTCTCCCGTGGTGTGTGATCGGGTTCAAGATTTGTGCCCATCAGCCTTGGAGATACATACTTTTCCTTGCAAAAAGAGTGCTGGACTCAGGAAAGAGACTTCAGACTTGATCCCAAGGCTCTAACAAGCATTTTGAGAGACCTTGAGCAGATCCCTTTCTTTTTGAGGCCAGAGGGCATGGGTGTGATCTCTAAGGGCCTGTGTATCTGTGGCCTCCTGCCGCATTTCCAGGGTGCTTAGCCCTGTGCTAGACCCAGGGCTGCAGGAGTTCATAGTCTAGGAGCAAATTATTCCCAGACTTTCTTCACTGGGGACAAATCTATCCTACTCTGTAGTTCTTGGTGAAATGAGGAAGAGAGAATGGTTGGGTGGCTCCCTTGTACAATGTACTTTCTGTGCATCAGCTCATTTGCTCCCGTGACACAGGGATGGGTATTTCCACTTCATTGAAAAAGAGACAGAAGCACAGAGAGGACAGGGACTTTGCCAATGTCACATGGGCAAGGGGTTGTAAATGCACATCTCAGACCCAGGAACCCTGTCTCCAAAGCTCTTCCTACTTTGCTGCTTCTCATGCCCAGATTAGGATCCCAGATATCTGTGGGGCCTTCTGCAGGGTGGCACTACTCTGGGTGCTCTGCCTAGAGCAGTGGACAAAACAGAATCCCAGATTTCCTGGGGCTTTCATTCCAGTGGCAGAAACAGCCCATCAACAGGTAGAATGGAAGCATCTTTACTTTGTCCTGACAGCTCTCTGGAGCCTTCTAAGCAGCAGCATCCACTGCCCAGCCTAGCAGAAAGACAGGTTTAAAAGCCCCCAGGGAGGTGGGAACAGCCAGCAGGGACGGCCAGCCAGGAGCTGGAGTGAGTTGTCTAAACTGCACTGTTAGAAGCCTGGAGAGGAAGCCCAGGTCCAGAGGTTTGGGTCTTTTCCAGCAGTCCCTGCTTCATGCAGGCTGTGGGTATGTCCCAGCTATAAGTCTGGCCCCAAGAGAGGGGAGCCCATGTGTGGGAGCCCCACTTTCAAGACGCAGCCAATCTCAGGGACCAGCTCACTGGGGAGGCAGGTGTCCCTGCCACTTACTAAGCTCTTGCATGCGCCTCTGGGTCTCAGTCTCCACATCCAGTAAAGTAGGGATACTAATTGTG